CTGTTCTGGAGTATCCCTGTTACAACCACTAATCCTGTGATAATACCACTCAGCTTCACCTATGACCTCACTCAGATCCCAGGGACCCTGTTTGACCACTCGGTGTGATGGAAATAGTGGCGGGTCAGGTTGACGGTCCGTTTGAAGTGGTGACCTAACCCTAATCTAGCTTCTGCGGCAGCCGAGCGTCTCGGGTGGTATAACTGTACACACGAAGAGGCAGATTGGGGATGGTATCATCTGGGTCTACAACCTGTTCCTGACCTTCAGTAACGGGAACGTTAATGGCTAAGTGGCGTTCTATGCTCTTGTCTCTAATAGACGTGTAGAACTTCCACAAATATTAATTCTTAAGTTTAACAGTGACAAGATAATTCATGTTCTGCGGAATAATTACTTCTTGAAAGAACTGAATTATTCATCCGAGTGCGTGGCACATGACATATATCAACGTTAATAGCTACATGACCGTTGGTGCTGAACGCTTTTAGAGGGTTCAACTTAAATGCAACGTGTGCCTTTGACTTTTAACAGATGGATTTCTTCCAGATAATTATCACTTAACGTGACATGAACCCCTACATATACCTGACATCGCTCTATTCGATAATCACATTTAAATGATAACAATGACTGGAAACACAAGTAAAACAAAACGCGTTGGTGGTTTCGATTGTCGTCTTAAAAGGTTCCGGAGTGTTGGGGTAGCCTAGTGGTTAAAGCGTTCACGTTGAAGGCCCAGGTTCAATTCCCCACATGAGTACAATGTATGAAGCGCATTTCTGGTGTCCCCCGCCATGATATTGCTGGACTATTGCTAAAAGCGGCGTAAAACTAAACTCATTCACTCACACTCATTTAAAATTTTCCATGAAACTGACAATAAATATTAGCTAATCAAAACGCTTTGGTGGCTCCGACTGCCGTTTTAAACGGTTCCTGGGAACTGACAAGGTTGTGTCATAGGTCCGTTGTTGTTATGTATTTCTCCTTGTGGACAGCTCGTCAATACACCTGTGTGGCTGTGAGGGGCCGGGGTCGATGACGACGATGTTGTTTGTTGCATTCTCCACATATATGTAACCATCAAAGGCATTGGATGGCGCCTCGGCATCTAAACAAATGGTTCTGTTCGACACGTTACACAATCGCTGCCCGTTATATTTCTGGTAAGGTCATTGTCATGTTTCAAGAGGAATGTAGATTTTGTAACTATGGTGTCATTTCTGTTTAGTATCCTTGTCCGCTTTTTTCAACAGTAATTTTAGAAACTGGCGTGCAGTTCCGTAGTTTGAAAGCGACATCACAAGGACATGGCTCGCATAGTTGCTATAATGCATACACAGAAAACATAGTACTGTTCTCGTGCCGTATATCCCCAGCACTTTCAACCAAGTTTCCCTATTGGAAAGCCCACCGTGTGTTATAGATATGTAGAAAGTTCTTGAAAATGTGCTTTCGGTGGGATCACTACAATATGTCAGAACCACCAAAATAAGGACGTAATAGCGATTTTAAGTATTTATAATAACCAGTAACCTCTTGTACTTCAAAACCAAATGGAAAGAGTGAGTTTGGTTTTACGCCGCTTTGAGCATAATTCCAGCAATATCACGGCGGGGGACACCAGAAATGGCTTCCACATTGTACCGATGTGGGGAATCGAACAGCGGTCTTCGGCGTGACGAGCGAACGTTTTAACCACTAGGATACCCTACTCTCCCCCCAACAGCACACACCCCCACACACCCTAGATGGAAAGACCTTAACAGTTAAGATCTGGGGAAAGGGCAAATGCTGGGCAATAACCTGAGTAAAGACCCCCCAAAATGGGACAAAGTCTTTTTGTTTTGTTTTAATGTCTATGCGCGTACATTTAAGCTGGCCGATGAGAGGAACGTTAACCCTAGTTCAAAATACCTTGTTGGGATCCTTTGGGTATTATATCTGTGACGGCATACCAGAACTAGTAATTTGATCTATTTTAGGGTATTTATCTATGAACGTCCGATAGGACCCTAATTCCAAAACTGTTTTTGTAACCCCCGGCTGCCTTCAGGATATATGTAAACACTGCCGCATTGTCGTTTCGTGACTACTTGTTATATAAGTTATTGTGCTTTGGCGTCTCGACAGTAGCCCCGTTGTGGGTGTTGAGTGTCTCATGCCCAACCAGTACGTGATGTAGGGTGGTGTGTTTTAAACACGTCACTGTGCTCATAAGACAGCGCCTAGATTGTTGTACCATAAGTTAAAAAACACCTCGTAATGAGCTACATCGTGATATTCGGTGTTAAATACTTAGCTGTATACCTTGTGTAGTTAACCACTTCGTCTAGTGTTAATCCTAGTAGTAGGTACCCAAAAGGCGCCCACGTCTCCGTTATGTCCCAGCATTTAAGGGTTTAAATTCTACAACCTAGAATGTTTCTGTAAAAAATCTGGGGTTTTGCAGTGCCTAGGTTAATCCTTGCGATGAGCTGACTCAAACTGACGAATATCTACGCCCAGTTCCAAAATCCACCCATCGATTCAGCATCTCATCACTTCGACTTCATAATCAGCCCACCGCATCCATTCTGACCCAGCGTAGGGCGACGTAAAACGCCGGACGCACCGCGGCCCCAAACGGCCTTGGCAATCTACAATCTACAGGAAAGAAACCGGAACACTCCTACATTCCTAAACCAAAACAACTTCAAAATATCTCACACACGCACCTTACCCTAGAGGCAGAGCAGGATCGATTTCAATTGGATTAGACTGTGGAGTTGAGTTTTGCATATATTTTTAACACCACCTCCAACTGAAGTTCCTCCAATGTTAAATTCAAGGCTTGTGGTTACACGGATTACAGTGAAGTATTAAGGTAGTATTAAAAGTATCGAACAACAGGTCATACTTGGTTAAGGAATGGTGAAGTCTTTTGTTCCCCGAGTTTGCCATTCCGATAAGCACCAGCTACCTGCCTTCCCCGGATGTTTAAACATTTAACGGATAACGATTATGCAAGAACATTGCAGAAAAAGTGAGAAAAAATATTTAGGAAATCCACAGTGGGGGCACATGAAACAGAAAAAGAAATCCCATGTCGAGGATAAATGTCATGCATTTTCATCTAGAATTACGTGTTGTTCTGTCAAGAGGAAACCCGTGTCGCTTCGAATCAATGGAGAATGTCGTTCTCGTCCCGCAAAGGAAATAGATGGCATGCAAAGGGGAGACAACTTATCGTGGAAACGTTACTGGAAGGAAAACAACCGGTAAACGCTCTGAAACACTGCCCAACACATTTTTTTCATTGATTTAGTAAGAAAATGCTTCCACTGGGTAGAACTACCGCGTTTTCTACTCAGCTAGGAAATAGAAAATTCAGGAAAGGTAACAGCAAATGCCATCAAATGCCTCGGGGAAAAAACTAACTGCAAAATCTCCCTCGAGGTGAAATTGACAGCATAAGTTGTGCTATGTACATAGCTTTTTTTCTTACAACAGTAAATCCTTATCAACAAGTATTATTAATGCCTCGGGGTCATTGATTGAAAGGGGGACACATATAAGGTGTAATCTAGATTTTCAGTGAATGGTGGAAAGAACAAAGGAGTATTTATGACGCAGATTTAAACGATCTTGGACTGAGCTAGTGTTAAAAACGGCATCCCTGCAGGAATAATTCATTTGTCGCTATTGTTTCACAGACTATCATTTTGGGGTTGCCACATATTATCCACCTCATTATACATGAAACGGTATTATAAATCGGATAATTTCAGAAAGAGGGGCGTCTTTGACAATGGTGTTAATGAACCAGGTATTGTTTTTCCCGACGCCATTTTCGATCAATACATCTAATGACGTATTCAAGCGTGTCAGTGTTAAGGAGAAATACAGGTTTCTTAACCGTTATGGATCTGGCAATTTATTTGCAATTTTTTAGTTTTTTAAAGTGATGTTTTGACAGGTGAGTCGACAGCTCATGTTTTATCAATCCGTTATGTACGAAAAACCCATTAGTTTTGAAAAATAGACAAAAAGAACAATGCATAGGTTTATGTAACAATTCCTCTCTACTTGACTGATACATCTGACATGACTGATACATCTAGCCTAACACAACTAGCGTTCTGTGGTTGTACTCGATCACCGTGTTGTAGCATTCAGTACATCACAGTTGTTTCGTGTTGTATCAGTCATACTGCACTCAAGGCTATAGACTGACTGACTGAATGAATGAATGACTGGATGGATGGATAGATGAATGAATGAACGGATGAACGAACGAATGAATGAGTGAATGGATGAATGAATGGATGGACGAATGAATGAATGAATGAATGAATGAAGTACCGCTGTATATACTCCAGGTGGAGATGTATGATCACGCCCATGTCCAACTAATGCCGATACTAACCCCTGTGTATTTTGAGACAAATGTTAGACCTTAATCACGAGGAATTAAAGTATTGTACACCTGTACACCGGCCTTGAAGGACTATAACAATGACTGAACAATACTGGGTAATGCGCTTGTCATATTACCAAGCAAGCTGTCGGTTGGTCGTATTTGATGAAGACACGCATATACAGACGCGCCTGGTGATGCGTGGAAATTATTGCCAGTGTAGCAATCCACGATGGATACAGTTCTACGTATACATCTTCATCAGTACTATCATTACCATCGGTGTTGTTAACGCATTGTGATGTGATCACCAGTCGTTCATGAATCAATAACTAGACACATAGATCTCTACTCACCCTACCAGAACATCCTATCCTCAAAAATGGTACTCGATCCTTGTTTAGATGGTGACACTGTGGAGAGAATGAATACGCCAACAACCGCACCCCAGTACGCCCGACACTGCCCGTACCGTAACACCAAACCGTCAACACACCTATACGCACTGCTTTGCCTCACCGCACTTAACCCTTAAAGTGTCGACAGGGCATGACGATATTTCAAAACAGTGTGTGTGAACTGCATAAAAATCGTTTACCTTGTTCAGCGATGTGGATGCTAACAGTCCGTGCTGCTTGGTCGCGGTAATCTCATCGACTGACCGGGGAAGTCAACACGTTCGATCAAGGCCCTTGGGGACAGTCAGGGCTAAAAATAGCTGGAGGGAAGCCGTACTTGCAGAGCGACTGAGGCAATCCTCTCGGATGGAGAGAAAGCTAGTTGTGCCGATTACAGCATCACGGAGAGCGCTGGAGAAGGGGTCTTTGAAGCAGAAAGGATCTCGGCAGGTACTGTAGCGGGAGAATGAGTGGCGAGGTAGACGTCACGCTTCCTGCTCGCGTATCTATAAGCTTCTTACAGGGCCAGAAGATTGTGATCGTTTACAAAGGGCAGAAATTCTGCCAATGTCTGCAACAATTTGTAGTATTTAGTTAAATACGTTGCGTTTATTCTCATCATGTTGCAAATACATTATTGAGAGCCTTACAATGAAATGCTGCGTTGGTACATATACATGTATTTCAAGATTATTGAGGTGTAATATATTTGAAACATCAAGAAAGCGAACTTCATGAATTTGATTTTGTTTTGTTTGTTGTTTAACGCGGCACTCAGCAATATTCCAGCTATATGGCGGCGGTGTGTAAATAATCGAGTCTGGACCAGACAATCCAGTGATCAACAACAACAGCATCGATGTACACATACGATACCATTAAATGTGTCAACCAAGTCAGCGAGCCTGACCACCCGATGCCATAAGATGCCTCTTACAACAAGCATGGGTAACTGAAAATCAATTCTAACCCGGATCTTCACGGGTATAATGAAAATAAAATGTCGTGGTTTACAGTATGTGTGGTTTTATTACGCTTTTAGCAATTCCGACAGTATCATAACGGGGAACACCAAAATGTTCTTCACATACACTGTGGTCTTCAGCACGATAAACATGTGGGTATCCCCACCACGCTACCCCAGTGTACGTATCAAGAAACACATAATAATAATACTGATAACAATAAAATATTAAAAGCAATAATAAGAGCCATAATGACACGATAAAATTAAAGCGGATAAGAAATTATTATATTTAAATAATAGTCCTACTACACATATTATTCTCTAATATTGTTATAAATAAACACACACACGACAACGGGGTGCATAGGCGGTGGGGTAGTCTAGTAGTTAGCTCGTTTACAGACAAGTCTCGGGTTTCATTTCCATCAGGGGTACAGTGAGTGGAGACCATTTCGGATGTTCGGATGTATGGCTGAGTTTTGGTTTTTACGCCGCTTTTAGCAATATTCCAGCAACACCATAGCGGGGTACACCAGAAATGGGCTTCACACATTGTTCCCATGTGGGGATTCGAACCCGGGTCTTCAGCGTGACGAGCCAACGCTTAACCATTAGGCTACCCCACCGCCCCCTCGGATGTATGGTATTGCTTGGATATATATTGCTTGGTAAAACTAGACTCACTCTCGTACATCGGTAACCCGTGAAGATCCGGATTAGAATTGATCATCAGTGACCCATGCATGTCGTAAGAGGCGACTAACGGGATCGGGTGGTCAGGCTCGCTGACTTGGTTGACACGTCATCGGTTCCCAATTGTGCAGATCGATGCTCATACTGCTGATCCATGGATTGTCTGGTCCAGACATTATTATTTACACACCGGCGCAATATAGCTGGAATATTGCTGAGTGCGGCGTAAAACAAAACTCACTATTCACATGAACAAAGAAGTTTTTAATGTCCTGTATGAACAAATGAACATGGATGTATAGAAGATGAATACCATCTGGAAACATCCTTCTGTTTATAAATGTAATGAATTATTAAGTTTTGATAAAGTAATTATCCTAATTAAAATTTGTAAAAGAAGCTTTAAGGTTAATCTTTGTCACTATCATTATTATTTTGTTGAGTTCTGTACTTGGGCCTATTGCTGACTGCGGTGTAAAACTAAACTCACTCACTCATTCGTACATCGGTTTTACAGAGACGTAAAACAGATGAAGTACTTAAAATAACATCAAAAGGACAGAAGCCATTGATTTTACAGCACTCGGTCTTACCACGTACAATGAATATATAATGCAAACCAACAATGAATAAATGACGACATTCGCACCTTTTTGGGGGCAAGTATTTCCCCAGGGATGGACGGCACGATATGTACAATATGCCTAGTTTGTGTCAGTCACAAACAATGCCACCGACTTGGGCACTCAGCGTACTATTGTGTAGCAGTAACTGTAGATATTATATACACAAAGAACTTAATTAAGCACCCCCTGTATTTGTGCAATGATAGGTTTCAAAACGTACATACAAATTCTCGTGGTGACCACGATGGAAAAAACATGAGTTTTTCTGACCCGTATGATCCTTTGATTTATAAAATAAAGAAAAAAATGATTGGAATCGATTTTGAGAAACAACACACCGATTTTCATACAAAACCATGTCTTACAGGTATTGCCGTAATGTTTAATGTTAAATTTATTGGTGAATGTGAACATTCAAAATATCATTTTGCGTGTCTTACACGATTCAAGGTCAATACCGTGTGTAACCTCCATGTTACTGACAGCCAGCACTCTCCTCCTCATACCCCATCAGCCTCCTGATCCTCTGAAGGGGGCAGCCTACACCATTCCTCGTGTAAAGCAGCTTCAAATTGGAACAGGTTCTGTACAGGAGTATCCCTTTGTTGCACACGACGACCAATCATGTCCCAGACATGCTCCAAAGGGTTAGGATCCGGGCTTATGCAATCGCGAGATATGTCAGGGGGTGCTTAACTTTGTGTATATACATGTATATTCTGTTAATACACACATGGCTTAAGTTGTTGTATTTGTATCTTAATAATGATACTGCCTACCATACAGTTGAGGACATTTTCAAGTGGAGTCATAATAGAGTACAAGAGTCATGGTAGTCTCCAAGAACCACGATTGAGTACAGGAATTATTACAGTGGACAGGTAGAGTCATGATATAGTAGAGTAGTCACGATAAGTACAGGTGTCATGATCGAATTCAAGAGTCATGAATCCGCACAGGAGTAATGATCGAGTTTAGGGAAGTTCACTTAGTATATACGTTTCCAGAAGAAAATGACTGAATATGATTGCATAGGCCTCTTACTCAGAGGCCATCTTCCATCTTGCTGGTGACTCGTATACACAGTACCCGTGGAAATCCGGGTTAGAAGTCGTCTTCAGTAACCCATGCCTGTCGTAAGAGGCCACTAACGGGACAGGATGGTCAGGCTCGCTGACTGGGTTGATACATGCCATCGTATCCCAATTGCGTATATCGATGATTATGTTATGATCACTGGATTGTCTGTTCCAGACATTATTATTTACAGACCGCTCCTATATAGCTGGAATATTGCGGCGTAAATCTAAGCTCACTCACTCACTCACTCGTATACACAGGGTGCTGTGGTTAAAGTACATGAGGTGGATATACTGGTTAGAATAGCTCGGGCGTGGCACTGACAATGTCAGAAAAAGTAGCAGCGACAACGATGGCTGTAGTAGCCGTGGTGCTGTTTACGGTATTATAACATACAGACACACGGCAATAGGTGTTAAAGGTAACAAGAGAATAAAAACTGTTTACTTATTCTAAAACGGCTGCAAAACACATTAATACGGCGTCATTATACTTTAGCAATATTCCAGCAATATCACGCTATGAGACACCAGAAATGGGCTTCCCACATTGTACCCATGTGGGGAATCCGGGTCTTCTGCATGATGTGCGAACGCTTTAACCACTAGGCTACCCCACCGTCCCCAGAGGCAAGGAGTTATTGACAGCTTATTATAAATGCTAAGAAAATATTTTATTTGTTTATATTTTGTTTTAGTTCACAGTTCTTAATATTCGTTAAGGATAAAGGATACATATGTATTGGTATGATGGTAAGGCAGTATGACACGGGACACTTCTGAGAATGGTTTACCTGGGACTATATGAATGGTTTATTTGGGATATTGAGAACGGTTTACCTGAAATTGTATGTCTGGTTTACCTGGAATTACACAAACGGTTTACCAGGAAGTATTGACATGGTGTACTTGGGATACTGATACTGGTTTACCTGGAATTATATGTATGGTTTACCTGGAATTAAATGAAAGATTTACCTGGAGTTATAAGAATGCGTTACTTGGAATACAGAAAATGGTATAGCTAGAATCATATGAATGTTTTACATGAGATACTGATGACGTTGCACTTGAATTATATTGAAGGTTTGCCTTATATAATAACATGGCTCACTTAACATTATATGAACGATTTGCTATGAATTGAATCAAGTAATTGGCTTACCTGGGAAGATGAAAATGATGGCCCACTGATAACGTGGATGCTTTACCTGGGATAAAGAGATGGTTTTCCTTCGATATGATGAATTTTTCACCTGGTATAATGTGAAAGTAGTACCTGGTAAAATGTGAGTGAGTGAGTGAGTTAAACCTGAAAGTCACTTTGGCAATATTTCAGCCATATTTCATATATATAACTGCATACCTGAGGTAATGGTTTTAATGGAATAATTCAGCTGTCAAATCACGACAGCTCTAGACGTTTCATCAATACGTTTTACTGACAAAAGTGTGAGTGCACGCTATTAATATTGATGAAGAGGCTATCTGCCTATCTGAATACACCATCTCCCCCGAAACAGACGCGTTCTGCAGTAAGCTCCTTATCACCGGGGCCAGGTCAGAGAAGAGAGTGATATGTCTTAATTAGCCGAGCCATCTGACAAGCGGGAAGATACTGTGCACAACATCAAAGCATGATTGACTGGCCTCGACAGGTGTCACGCCAGGTAACAAGATGGGGGAAGAAATCAATAATCAGTGAGGCAGGTCCGCTGTCAGCAATCTGACACTCATCACTGCCGACTGTAAAGTTATGATCCAGGTCAGAAAAACGTGTGATTGAAAGAGTGAGGCACAGTACGCGTCGCAAGACGAAAGCGGCAACTGGGTCACTCTTTATTTTCAGAAAAATGATTAACTACATACAAACAAAAGGCTAGTTCTCAAAGTATATTAATGGCACCGATTAATACTTGTCTTCATTCAGACACTATGCACTGTTTGTTTGTTTTTTGTTGCTGTTCAACGCCGCACTCAACAATACTCCAGCTATATGATGGCGGTTTGTAAATAATCTAGTCTGGACCAGGCAATCCAGTGATCAACGTCAACTATCCACTGAGCAAAATAAC